CTTTTAGCTAATCATAGATTCCCAAAAAATATCTAGTATCCTTGATCACAAATGTCTATTTTTTTTCAAAAAGCAAAAGTGCTCCTATAATAATTGAAATTTATAAAAAAAGAGTGAATTATCATCACATCATTTTATATTCTTAGGAAACTCTATCTATCCACTATGACAATAATAAGTTAAAAACATTTTCCATAGACAAAATTTTAACAAAATAATTAATAAAAAATAAAATAAATTCAATAAAAAATTCATCAACCCGGAGACTTAAACTCGGATCTCTGCAACCTTAGTCCAGCGTCTTCACTCTAGACTACTTGATGAGATTTTAAATAACAATTCTAAAACCCTTTATATATGAAATTTATTTATTTAAATATTCATCCATATCTTTATTAGCAGTAAATAAATTTCGAAAAAAAAAATAAATTCAAATGATATATTCTCCTCTTTCTTTGTTAATTTTTATTTCCTTTTGAAAATATTGATAAATTGTCTGCTTAAATAACAAAAAATGTACATCATTTAATATAAAATTGTTTGCTAAAATCCAATTTCCAATACAAAAATTTCTTTTTTTGTTATCCCAACCTTCTTGTTAATCAACTCTGTGTAAAATAATTAGTGGTTATTTTTATTAGATTATCTTTTTTTCTCAATCATAACATAAATAGAATTGAATCTTTTATAAAATCTAACATTTTTGTCATCATAATTTTTGTTTTGAGTAGNAATATTTATACATATTTTAAGAGCATCAAGTTCGATATTCAACACAGCCTCTTTAATTAATTAATTTAATTTTTAAATTAGAGTAAGCAAAAGTCTATGTTGAGAAATGAGTAGCAATATTGAACTATTTGTTTCTAAAACATATACTTTTTCTCGATAAACTTATTTCTTTATAATAAAGGAGATAATTTCAAAAAAGAAATTATTATTATGCTAAATCATTCAACTATGTTTTCTTTAACACAAACGACAATGACAATTTTTTATCATCTGTTCTCATTTGTTATTTTGTTTATTTCCTCGAAAATTTTTTCCAAGTTTCAATGTCCTATTAATAAGCTTTTAGCTAATCATAGATTCCCAAAAAATATCTAGTATCCTTGATCACAAATGTCTATTTTTTTTCAAAAAGCAAAAGTGCTCCTATAATAATTGAAATTTATAAAAAAAGAGTGAATTATCATCACATCATTTTATATTCTTAGGAAACTCTATCTATCCACTATGACAATAATAAGTTAAAAACATTTTCCATAGACAAAATTTTAACAAAATAATTAATAAAAAATAAAATAAATTCAATAAAAAATTCATCAACCCGGAGACTTAAACTCGGATCTCTGCAACCTTAGTCCAGCGTCTTCACTCTAGACTACTTGATGAGATTTTAAATAACAATTCTAAAACCCTTTATATATGAAATTTATTTATTTAAATATTCATCCATATCTTTATTAGCAGTAAATAAATTTCGAAAAAAAAAATAAATTCAAATGATATATTCTCCTCTTTCTTTGTTAATTTTTATTTCCTTTTGAAAATATTGATAAATTGTCTGCTTAAATAACAAAAAATGTACATCATTTAATATAAAATTGTTTGCTAAAATCCAATTTCCAATACAAAAATTTCTTTTTTTGTTATCCCAACCTTCTTGTTAATCAACTCTGTGTAAAATAATTAGTGGTTATTTTTATTAGATTATCTTTTTTTCTCAATCATAACATAAATAGAATTGAATCTTTTATAAAATCTAACATTTTTGTCATCATAATTTTTGTTTTGAGTATACTTATTTATCATAAATGCTCTTATATCTTTTGATTAGGAATTGCCAATTTCAAATTAATTCTTTTTTTTTTTATTAACATTCAATTAAAACTGTGTTTGAAATTTATGTTGAAAATATTGGTATAATGATTATTTCTTTGTTTTCTATCTACTCTAATTAACTTATATATTTTATTTTGATAAAGACTTAAATTCAGATTAATCGTCAAAGATCATTATTAAAAAAAAATTAATATCATTAAATCAATATTACTTAATAAAATTAGATTATTTAATGATTTAGAAGATGGAAAATATAGATAAAAGGATATCCTTACTTAATAATTGCCAATTAAGAGGGAATTAAATAACGAACTAATATTTTTAGATAATAATTCTAATAACAACTCAAATTTTTCTAAATGATTTACTTATCCCAAAATTGGAACAGTAAAACCAATACCTTTTGATTCCTTATATATATTCGAATTTAAGAATTTTTTCAATCCTTTATAGTATAAGTTAATTGAGAAATAATATTAAACCTATCGGATTTAACCACCCTATTAACGAACTTTAATTTAACTAATGGTTCATTCCCTCTTTTAGCAAAAGTTTCTTAATAGATTTTACTCATTTTTTATTATAACACAAAATCCGTTTTATATGTTTTTTACTTATTTTAAATTTAATTCTACTTTATTTAATCATTATTCCTTTTTAAACTTTCTTTAAATTAATCAAATCTTATTTTTGAGAATCAAATACCATAATTTTTTTTTAAAACAAATAATGATAGAAAACCATAATTGTGAGCAAAACGATAATTATTATACTAAATAATAATGATACAAATAAGGAAGTTTTAGAAGACTTAGCTTTGATCCCAATCCTTATTAGAAGTATGTTAATTAATTTTGAGAGAAAATATCATACTAAATTCAAATGGTTAGCCAAACCAAAAAATACACTTTTCATAATGTATAGGAATAATTTATAAATAATTTCTCTAAGTTATTATATATTTATAATTATAATTAACAGTTCTATCATTGAAAATTCAAATCTTAAAAAAAAATCAAAATTAGAGGGATGAAATATGAAAGAAAAATATTTGTTTAATATGAAATTTGGATAGAAATCAAATTAATTATTTTTAGTAGATTTAAATTTCGCAGTATAGTTTTTTATTCAATTTTCTTAAAAAAAATTTGTAAAAGTTTATTTGATTTCCTAATAATATTGTAATACATACATGAATGCAGTAAATTAATAAAATATATTGATTAATTCAACAATATTATAATACTATTTATTGACAAAAAATAGGGACTTCAATGATTATATCTTTGATACTGTTCCCATTATTTAATTTTTATCCATTCTAACATTATAAACAAAACTAATATTGTAACTTATGAATTAATTATAATAAAGTTAGCTACAACTTTGACATTTCCTATCGTTTAAAATAAACCCTAATGAAAATTCCAAACATGATTCTTCATTGGTACAATTGTAAAACATTCTTTACACCTTTTACAATAAAATGGGATGTTTATAAATGTTGGATAAATCCTAATTAACATTGTACTCATTAAATTATAGCATCAAATATGAATGCATCTTTATAATATATCGGATATTTTTAAAATTAGAGTATTGATTATACCATATCATAATAAATTTAATAAATAATGATTTTGTAAGCAAACTAGTGCATAATGGATTATGATCATAATAGCAAGTCTTATATGGTGTTGGACACTGAGCACAATTTTTATGTTCTTTAATATAATAATGTAATTCATCTATACAAGAGAGAATTCTAGTTTAACTTAAACTACTTAAGCAAGGAAATTATCATTCTTTATATTCAAAATTATCCAGATAAAATGAGTTGGAAACACAATTAATGCAAGTTTATTAATTTGAATATTTTAACAATTAACAGGACATGGAAAACAAAATATATCAATATCATTCTATATTATATATCAAAACAATCTTGACATTAACATTCATTCAGGAAATCCATATATTTGTTAGTACATTCAATGCAATCCCATTTTAGAAATATAATATCCTTTCTGAGATTTTATACAATAATTCAAATCTTAACACAGAATACAGTCATGACATTAAACACATTAATTATCACATAAGTAATAACCATCTTTACAGATATTACATTGATTATTTAAATGACAGAATTTACAATTTTATGACAACACATTAATAAAATTCGCATTTTAAGCAAAAACTATCTTAATCATATTTATCATATTTTAACTATGCTACTTAAAAAGTCAAACATTAGCTATTACTTAAAATGAATCATTTTTACATTTTGTACATTCTTTCTCATTTATACAAGTTTGACATGTTAAATAACATTATAAACAAATATTTTTTTGAATATCTAAATAATAATTTTCTAACATCAAATAAAATGATCTACCAAGAGACATACTTCTTTAGTACTAGTTAATCAATTATTATGGCATTAAAATTATCAAATATTAATATATACATAAAATCTATTTTCGTTGTCACGTAAGTATTCTTTATTTTTCAAAATATTAGGCTAAATTTTATAATATAAGTTCTTATCCACTATACAATAAAATATACAATAAATTATCTATTATTTCATCTAACTAGGATTAAAATAAGAAAATATTATGCTCATATGACATAATGCCATTTTTCATTCTTTTTTTTCTAACAAACCATTTTGATTTCATTGCTATGTTTATATTCTCTAAAGATGCAATCTATAAACAAACATTTCCTTCAAATTTTTATACTAGGGATTGAAAAATTAAAAATTCCCATATACTTTAATTAAATGTTCTAATTCCTGAATATTTATTGTAATTTAAATAATTAACATTAGCAGCCCAGATCATTGTTGATTCATGATTGAGCATAATTCCAAAAACAAACAAATTATTAAGTTTTTACATATAAACTTGTCCCTGTGAATATGGTGTTGTTGTACTAATAATTTTATTTTATTCTAATTTTGAAATTAATTAAAATTAATTACAATTAACTAATGCAACCACTTTCAATTCCACTATAAATTATACAATCTAGTCCTTAAATAGCCATTTAAGAGAAGGTGTATTTTTTTTATATTCTATTTATATATTATTCTAATGATAATATATATTAAAATTGAAGAATTTATTAAATTGAACTAAATAGAATAATCAAAAATGCTTAAAGAATTGTATGTATACCCCTTCTTTGCATATACATGTTTAATTACTGTCTAAAACTCTATAAGTAAGCTCTTCATTTCCACAACTAATACATTTAGATGGATCATTTGGATCACAATTCACACAATTAGAAAGGCATTCTAATTTTGATTTTATAATTTACACAAACACTCTTATCCTCCAATATCCAAAAAAATTTGTTAGCATTGACATACGGTTACGTTGACTCCTTCTTCATCAATGTTCAAATTTCTTGTGGAGGGACAACTAGGACAAAAATCATAATTAGTATCACAAGTTTGACAATTATATTCACCTAATTATTAAAATGCAATTTACATGATTATATTAGTTTAACAGTTGTATATATATATAAGGACGATCATATAATATGTTAATTAATAATTTAATTTTTAGAGTTTTTAATTTGGTTATGTAGAGAGGGTTTTATTTAATTTAATTTGATATTGTTGATTTTATAAACTGATGCTTGAATAATTTAAATTAAATATAAATATTTAACATGATTAATCAGGTAATGATTGAATCTTAAGTTGGAAACTACGATGGCAAAATCTAACTAAATCTTATGTTTTTGTTTGATGATGTTGACATTTTATTAAGTGTAAATTATTCCTCAAATATATCATTCTTAAATCATTCTTTTAAACTTATTGGTTTTCTCTATAATTGCTTGATTCATTATATTGCTTCTTAATTTGAGATACTTGAGTATGTAAATTAAACATAAATTTTTATAGCTTATATATGATATCCTTTAGCCAAGAATGGATAATTTTATTCATTACATCAATTATCTATTGAACATTATGATGAGAAAAAAATAATCATAATATTGAAGAGTCATCTTCCTAATAATTCTGCCTTAATTTTTTTATCTCTTTTGAGATCAATATCTGTTTCTCTTATTAAAATTTTTTGAATCCTATACTACTTAAAAAATCAGCGCCTTCTTTTAAAAGGAGATCTCAATTAATGTTTTGAAGGTTAACATCATTTTATTACTACTTCTCTGTTGGATTTTAAGTAAATAATTAATAACATGAATTTCTTTACTGAAAACAAAACCAAGTGAAATTAAAAAATTTAAATAAATTCTATACAATAATTAAGTAATAATGAATTAATTTCACAAATTAATTTTCTGATTAAATATGATGAAGAACAATTGATTTAAAGATTCAAATATGAAAGTATGAAAACTATATACTTTTCATTTAAAATGAAATTAAAATCAAATTGGGAGATTTACAAAAACATGATTCATTAGATGTTTTAGAGTCAATTAATATTATAAAGACATATCAAGTATATAATAATTTATAATTATAGATGACAATCAAATCAAAGGATTTCAAGATAAATCTAGAGTTATTTAGAGAGCTATTTATGTTTATTTAATTAAACAATTCTAAAATATTAAGAAAAGCTTCAAAAAAATTGATAATATAAAAACGAAAACTATTCCAGATATAACATAAAGAAGCCAGTTATTAAAGTTTAATCAAAACTAATAAGATTAGTGATTTATATGAAAAATTAAAAACCATAAATTACTATTGTTTATTAAATTAGATATATTTAAAATTTATCATTTACTACTTTATACCAAAACCCTTTTTTATTACAATATTTTATACAGATGAAATGATGATTTTATTACTAAGCAAAAAAACCATTTTAACATTTTCATTTCCTAAAATACTTTTAAAATCGTTTTTTATAATACATTTCTATCCTAAAATATAAATATTTTACATAATCTTGCATTTAGATTTTATTATTAATCATCTTTATGACTATAAATGTATAATCTCTCTATATCAATCCCGCTGTTTTCCTTATGTATTAATATCACCCTCTAACTCTTTATTCATACTTTCAATATTGTTACAAAGGCTTTTAATTGAAGTTATCATAATTCCACCCTAGAAAACTCTCAAGTCTAAAATTCAATAACATTTTATTACACCAAACTCAATCTCATATTTCTGTATTTCTATTCTGAGGAAATAATATTAAGGTGTTTTGAAATCAACACACCTTACAAAGGAAAATAATTTTCAGTTAGTTCAAAAATAAAATATAATCTTTATTCTAATTCCAATAGTGACTTAACAATAAATTTTATATAGCCAGTAATTAAACCTAAGATCAATTATTGAAGTATTAAATCAATATTGTCGATACATACAATTTCAATTTTGATTTCAATTTCTGAAAACACAAAATTCATCATTTTTTCCTGATTTACCTCCTCATGTTTTCTTTAAATTTTTATAAAACACAAGGAATTGAGAGAGTTTTGGAGTTGATATTGTTAAAATTTGTCCTAATACCATCAAAAGTAAATCATTACTATAAAAAAGTTATTAGTATCAACTAATCCTCATTTTAAATTATTTCTTCAATATTCTCTTTATAGCTGCTTATACTTGAATCTTTCAACTCTTAAATTAATTATTATAAGTTTTTGAGGATTCATTATTAATATATTGTATCTAAATCAATTATGAATGATTAAGGTAGTTATTTAACACAATAATGGGCGGTTTTTTTGTTTTATAATATTTGCAAAGAAAAGATTTATATATAATATAATTCTAATTATTAATTGAATAAGTAAAATTATCTAAATAATTACATTACCTGAAAAATTAAAAAATTTAATAGTATTAATCAAAATATTTATAATATTCATCTGTGAATCAATTAAAGAATTACAGAAATTTATAAATCATTTTCTTTGATATAAATATTTAAAACTGATGACATAATTTAATTGTCATTTTAATTTCAATAAATAAGTTATAATTAAATAATCTAATGAATTGCTTATTATAAAATAGTTTAAGGTCTATTATTTAAATATTAAATACAATTAAAAATTGTATAGCTATCAACCCAAAGCAATAATAAATATTAATATTAAGAAAAATCAAATTCTAAAATGATAAATATTAACAAAATAAATTACTTTTATTATCTAAAAAACTTTATCTATTGAACTTAAATTCCTATTCTGTGTAGAGTAAAAATAAATATGACAAAATCAATAATAAATTTTTTAATATTAATGCTTATCAATTTATCAAGTAACAAGATATGAATAACAAATATCGAAAATTATATACTTTTTAATTTGAAAAGCAACTAAAAAGCATGATTTTAATTTATAGAATTTAAATCAGAAAATGTTATTTTTCACAATCTATGAATCTAATTATTCAGTTAATTAGATTAAAATTATCTAAATAATTTAATAAATTTTTCCTTTATTCTTCTTAAAAAGATATAAGTATTTATTTTTTGTATTTTTCATTCTAATTTGAGTTTCTAATTATAAATATATATAATTATAATAATTGATAATAATTAATTAAATTAAATATCTTTTTATATAAAATAAGATTTGATGTCATTGGAATAAGAGAGAAAAGTTTGTTCAAAACATTCTTTGGAGATTACAACTGTTGATTTAAAGTAATCAACTGCAAAAGAAGATAAATACCTTTGTATAAAATGTCTAATTGAGAAGATTGATATTTAAAATATGGCTTTAGTAGATGAAACTAAAATAATGATTAAGGAAATGAAAAATGAATAATAAACACTTAAAATACAGGAAAACTAAAAAAGAATAGAAACATTAAAATAAATATAATGTTAAATTAAAGAATTCAAAGTTTAAATTGAAAATGTTATTGAGAAAATATTAATTAATATTAATTAAAAAATATCAATAATAGAAAAGGATTTAGAATAAATAGATTAAAAACCAAAAATTTATAAATTTGAAGATGAAGTAGAAATATTATCAAAAAATTATAAAGGAAGTTTTAATTATGAGATTCCATAAGAATTTGATTAATTAGATGATGATAGTCGATTCTATAATTCTATTTAATAAATGTTTTAATCATTTACAAATAATTAAATATATACTTAAATTATTGATATTTTATAATAGAATTAAAAAATTGAAAAATCAAAAGAAATAAAAGCATCAAGAATTTAAAAAGATTTAGATAAATCAGTAAATATAATTATTTAAATTATAGAAAACACCTTGCCTTAATATAAAATGTAATAAACATGGAAAAGAGATTATAATGCTTAATTTAGAATCAAATGAAATTGAAACTTGTAGATAAATATGTGTAGATTGTATTCATAATAATGATCCTATTAAATATTCATCATTATAAGATGCAAATCTTAAATGGGATGAATTTAAAGGTAAAACTTAAGATAAAATTAAAACATTTTAGAATTAAAGATTAATTTAATAAGAAAAAATAATTTAAAATCTAAAAGAAATAAAAGATTAATATACTTTAATATTAAATGAAATGATTGATAAATTGAATAATGAATCATAATCTATTCAATTATAATAATTTAATTAAATAAATAAAATAGATATTTATGAATTTAATTAATAATAATTAGATGAACTTACATTAATACTAAGTAAACAAGATAAATTTAAAGTTTTACAAGATTAATAATTTAATATTGAAAAAGAAGATCAAATTAAATATAATTTAATTATTAATAATCTAATCAGTTTATTTGAATTTGAATTATTAAAAAGAGAAGATATATTAAAGATTTCAAAACATGATTAATCCATTGTTAATACAACTTAAATTGAAGATTCTAAATTAAAGAATGAAATAATAAGAAAAATCTAAAAATTTGATATATATAATGATATTTTCAATTAAACTTTGAATTTATATAAGTCTATTATTTAAAATATTTAAGATTTATAGATTTATAGTAAAGAATAATAATAAAATGATTAATATGAAGGTATCATTCAAAAATTCATTGAAGATACTAATTAAATTAAATAATTCCTGCTAATTGATTAATTATAAGATTAATTAAAAAGTAAATAGATAGAAATTGATTCATATTCATTTAAGATTAATTAATTATCATAGAATTATGATGATAAAGTTAAATAAATTGAAATATTGGAAAATCAAAATTTATCTGCTTAAAACAACTAAAAAAAAATATCAGAAGAATGTAATAATTGTAAATTATTTATATATTTTAGATGTTTCTTAGATTGATAATCTTAATTAATTAATAAAAGATAAGGAAAATGATATTTATAACTTAAATAAATAATTATAATATACTGAAGATTCATTTAAATAGTAGATATTAGATTAATATCCTTCAAATTTAACATTTTCATAATCATTTAAACATAATAATTGTTAAATCTCATAAAATGGAAAGGTTGTTTTTGGAACTACTAAGAACAAAGGTTGGTGTTGTTGTATTTGTGACCAAATGATACCAAAACTTGGATCAGTTAAAATGGCATTTAAAATATTAGATGGTTGTGATGACATCATGGTAGGAATAGGTTTTAAAGATATTATATAAAAGAGTAATTATTAAGACGCTTATAGAATTGGAAAAGGGTAACTATTATATTATATAATAGAACATATTATATATATCACGATGGTAAATGTTTCAATCATCATTAAGAAGATAAGAATGATTAACATTTATCATTTAAATTTGCCAATAATGATATCATAATAATAGAAATTGATATTTAGAAAAATTTTATTAAATGGATTAAGTAATCATCTAATGAATCACTCGTAAATATTAAATTATATACTAAGACCTTTGACATAGAAACATCTTAAGATCTATATCCATGTGTGAATTTATATAATAATTCTAAAGTAGAAATATTAAGTCAATTCAACAAATGATTAATATATAATAGATAATTTATGAATTAATTTAGAATAATAATGAAAACTCAGTGCATTCAAGCACTTTATTGATTAATCTTTCAGGTTTTTAATCTTCAAATATATTCTCAACTTTATGCAATTATGAAAAAATTTAAGAATTATCTTTTTTTATTCGAATATCAATAAGAGTTAAATATATACTAAATATTAAAGATGGTGAAAGAATTTATCTTAAATCAATTTTTCATTAAAGATTAGATGCCTTTATTCTAATTATTACTCTCTTTTACTTACAATATATTGAAATTAAAAAGAAATTATAAATTATCTATTTTATGTTAATTAAGACTTAAATTAATAATATTTAGGATTAAAGAAATTTGGATGTGTATTTAGTAGTATTTCTACAGAGACTTTGTATTTTAATAATATTGATGAGCAATCACATAATTGATCAATTTTTAAATACCAAAACTGATTTTCCCTAAATTTATAAAATAAACTCAATCTATTTAACTAAGATTTGAAAATTAATTTTATTTAATAAATTCTAAATTGTATTGTCATTTATAAGGAGTAAAGTTCAAAATTTTTCTAAAATTCAAATTTTTAAGTTGTAACTCACTTATGTGTTTATAATCCTTGAAGCAAGTTTTAAATGAGATTACATAAACAAGGATGAAAAATAGTGTATTTATAAAATTATTTTTTTAACAATACTATTATCGATTCTATTTAGTTTCATTAAAAATTGAAAGAGAATACTATTAATGTCTAAACAATAGAGTAAAGAATTTTTAGGTTTATTTTGTGAAATAAACTTGATTTTAGTAGAAAAATTGAAAATTAATTTAGAGAATATGTTTTTTTTATTTATTTTAAATAATTGAAGATATAAGACTAATAACATTATTCACTCATTTCTACATATTAAACTTATGCTTAATTTTAAATAATATAAACCAATGATTGTATTTACTTCTCCAATTTCACTATAAATTATTTATATTTTTAAATAATTAACTCAAAATTATTTAAAAATAAAAGTTACTTTGAATTGTACATGTTTAAGTGGACTTATAAGAGAATCATCTTATTTCATATTTATTGGAACTATTAGGGGTTTATGATCAGCTAATAGTTATTAGTTATAGAATCATATATAATATAAGAGAATAGTTAATTTTTTTGTTCTTGATTTTTATCATAAAATTCGTAATCATGATTGACAGATTGTTTTTTAGTTTTTCTAGAAGATTTTCTAATATCCTATTTAATAATGAAATTTCAGTATTCAGGAAAGTTTATTTTCCATTTATATTCTTAATTGAGTTGTTTTTTGGAGCATAAGGACTATTTCCATCTGATATAGATGGATTATTTGTCTGCTCGATAATTGTCTTATATG